GCCTTTGAGCAGTGGTGCTGGAGAAGAGTATTGAGAGTACCATGGACTGCTAGGAAAACAAACAGATTCATCCTGGAAAGGGTTAAACCAGGTGGCTCTTTGGAGGCAAGGATTCTGAGGCTCCGTCTAACATACTCTGGACATGTTGTAAGGAGAGACCAGTCACTAGAGAAGGACATCATCCTTGGGAGAGTGGAGGGAGCACAGGAGGGGAAGGCCCTCTATGAGATGGATTGGTTCAGTGACTGGGGTAATCGGTATGGGAGTGTCAGAGACAGTAAGATTGGCACAGGACAGAGCAGAGTTTAGGGCTGTTTTACAAAGGGTCGCTATGAGTCGCAAGCGACTCGACGGCACATAACAGCAACAACACCACGATCAGAGAAACTTCCCTAGTAATGAACTATAGAAATGATCCGTGAAACTATAGCCTTTATGTCTTTTAAAATACAAAATTCAGTCATTCTGTTTCCAGCTTCATTTCTATCACCAAGCCCTTATCTTCCAACTACTATTCCTTTTTCACTGTTTCCTTCTTTTGCATTACAGTCACCAATTATCATTAATGCATCTTGTTTGCATGTTCAGTCAATTCTGGACTGCAAGATCTGGTAAAAATTCTCAATTTTTTCCTCTTTGGCTCTAGATGTAAGAGCATATTTTTTAATAATAGTCCTTTAAACAGGTCTTCCTTGTATGGGTATGGTTATTATTCTATCACTCACAAAACTGAATTTCAGGATAGAACTTGAAATTGACTTTTTGATTATAAATGCAACACAATTCTTCTGTTTTTTTATTCCCTGCATAGCATACCATATGACTGTTTGATTCAAAGTGGCCAAAGCTGGTCCATCTCATCTCAGTGATGCATAGTATGTCGATATTCATGCGTTCCATTTAATATTTAATAATTTCCAGTTTTCCATCATTCAAGCTACATACATTCCATGTTCCAATTGTTAAATGATGTTACTGTTTTTCCTCATTTCAACTGATTTCCAGTGTGGGCTCTACTACTACACTACTGTAACAATCCTCTTTCTTTAGTTTTCACAGAGTTTTCAAATGCCTATTATTTAGGAAGTAGATGGCCCATCTTGCTTCCTACTCTGTCTTAATCAGGGAGCTCTACCAAAACTTGACCACTATGGGATTGACACACCAGTGGTACAGATTTCAGTATTCCAGAAACCCCAAATTATCTCAGTACAGCAAACTAACAAATACTTAGTACCACTTAGAACAATGTTCTTTCCAAACACAATTAACAGTGGATCTCAAACCCAAATGACTTTTAAATATAAAGACCCACCCAACAGGTCCTGATTGCTTCAGCAAGAGGCTTCCAGCCCACCGCTGCCTTTTATAGTCAATCTTCAAAGTTGGTCAGGGAGGTATTACAATTACTCTCATCTTAGAAATAAGACAACATAGGTACAGAGAAGTTAAGTAATCCTCCCAAGGATACAATGCACAAAGCTGGTAGAGTGGTAGAAGCTGGCTTTTAAATTCAGCTTAGTACCAGCCATTTGGCTCCATAAATCTATGCTCTTAACCATTAAGAACAAGGGTCCCTGATGTGGCACCTCTGTACATGCAGCTCAGCAGTGGATTCCACAGTCTCAAATGCAACAGCAAGCTCTCTGAAGGCTGGACAGTGAGAGGACAGAGTGGAATGCCAGGCTCCGGTATCAGACAAATTCAGATCCAAACCCCAGTTCTGCCTCTTTTTTCAATTATTTGCACCTGATGTACAGTGTACATAAATTTTAGTGATATTTTTTCATCTCTCACATTAGATACACAAATGACACATGAAAGCAGTGCTTATGTAAATGATTACATGACATGGAATCCATTCCTAAAAACAAAATCAATTCAATATAGGTGGCAGTTGCACTGGATTTCCAAGGAAATGCTTTCCAAGAGACGGTGATTCTTAATTTGAATCTTGAAAGAGGCTATATTACCCTGGATAAGCATTGTTCCCTTTCTGAGACTCAGTGGTCACATTTATAAAATCAAGTTAAAAACAGACCTACATTATGGAGAAGTTATGAGGATTCCATAAGGGAGAGCATGTACAGGGTTTAGCTTAGAGCAGTCAGCATACAGTGAATATCAGAAGCTGCTATTACATTATTACTAGTCTCCCTTGGCATGTGGCCATCAAACAAAAGGTATTTTCCATTTAGAAACCTCTGCTCCAGAATCCTGCTAATGACACCCAGGGATAGGACCAAGGGATAAGCGGGCTGTGCCCAGATCTTCCATACCTTGGTGAGATGAGTGTTGTACATGTCAGTGAGAAGCCTGCATCCGTGTCCCACGCCGAGCACTGAAAGGCACCAGCTTGATCTCATACTTGGTTCCTCTTTCCTTTACCTGGGAGACCCTTCCCCTGCCCCCATGAGAATACAGATACCTTTGATGGTGCTGAAATGAGCAAGATATAAGGGAAGCTGTTTCTACAAGCAAGCAAGCAAGCAAGTTCCTCAGTCAAAATGCAGATTTCTGGGACCTGCCCATATGCGTTGATTGGACTCCTAGTGAGGAGGGATCTGGGACCCTCAGAAAATGCCCTTAAGGTTCTCATACATTCTGAAGTAGACTACTGGTCAAAGATCGCCAATTAAATCTGGGTGACCGAGTATACCTTTTATCTCCCTAGGCCTCAGGCTCCTCACTAGTAAAATGGGGATAAAAACTCTGAATCCCTGTGGGTGCTATGAAAGTGAAAGGAGCTAATACATGTGAAGCAGTTAGCACAGAGGAAGGGACCACTACAAGTTGTCATTGTGAGCACTTCTTTTGTCTTCCTGGTTTTGGCTGAAGAAAAGAAGGACTCTCTATTCACTCATGGAGGGAGAAAGAAGAGGGAATGAGATCATGTCTGCAAGCCTACACCCCAAGAAGCAAGAAAAGGGGACTGTGACTGTTAAGGCTTTAGGCTGTGATCACTGCCTGACCCCAGGAACACAGATGGCTCACGATTCAGGCCTTTATGTGTTATTTCCAATGATATCCAAATACCAGCAAGTTGGGCTAGAGTAATGTGCTTGGCTGCCTACACAAGCAAAGATCGTTTTTCTTCTCTGCATGTGACCCAGGATAAGTCACTTAGAAATTTTACTTCTTTATCCATAAATTTTTATGTACCTAATAAAAGTGCCAATGAGTTAGAACTCACAGTTGACCTTCCTGCAGGTTTTCAGAGGCTGTAAATTGCAAGGAAGGAGACTGTCCATCTCTCTCTCAAAGAGCCTGCTGATAGATATGAAGGGCCAGAGAGGCGCTGCCTTTTAGTTAGCATGGTAACTTCCTATGGACAATGTGACCAGGGCTCTTGAATAATTGTGTGCACACAAAGGGCTTAATATCACAAGAGTCACTTTTAAAAAAAATTTTTTTTAATTATTTTTGTGTGAGTGTACCGTCAAATCAGATCTGACTGGTACAGGAGGAGATTGTCCCTCCTTCCCCGGCAGAGCATCTGGTGGATTCGAACCGTGAGCCTCTGGGATTGTAGTTGCAGCTCCTTACCACTAGGCCACTTGATAAAGATGAGTGATTGTGATTATTATCCTGTGACAGTACCATGCCCCACACCCCAATCCCCCTACCCCCCACTGCAATTCATCTGCTCAACTGACAGAGCCTTGGGGCAGAAATCAGGGAAGGAGGACAGTGGTAGGAAATGGTGGGTGGGTAAGAAACAGGCTGGGATCAAAGCAGCTATCTGATCTTTCCCTTAGGCCTGTATCACTGCACCCCAAGGTTTATCCTACCTACCAAGCACCCCAGAAGCCTGGGTATCTAGCCGGTGTCCCACCCCAATCTTCATACTGGTGAATTCTGGTCCACGCACTGAAAAGAAAGAAACAAGGTCTATATCCTCAACATATCCAGCTTTTGGCTGCAAGATAATCTTATTTCTAGTATGTGGCCTCATGGAACCCAAAGCCAGAATTCAGGCTTCCCCACCATGGAAGTGAAATGCAGGGTGTTTCTTTAGTTTGCTGGGTCAAAAGAAAGGGCAACCAAAATGCCCGTCACTCTGCCTAGCAACAGTCTCTCAATGAGAGGCTTCCAGTGAAAACACTTGTGATCAAGACTGTAGGGTTTTCTGACCCGTTCCTGCCCACCATTCCAATGAGAAAATGGAGGATATGAGATATCCTCCAGGATATAAGCCTGGACCTGGATCTGTCCGCCTCTATTCCAGAGTCTAAAAGTCACCAAAAAATAACTCCTATCATAATGAATGTAGAAATAAGCTAGAAGTAGTTATACTTTTTTTAAAAAGTATTTATACTTCTATAAATCAAGAGGAATCTATGAGAAGATTGAGAGTAGTTAAGAGCCTATGAAATCCTGGCTATATTATGTAATGTTGCTGCTGAGCCTCAATTTCCTTACTTGTGCAATGATATTAGGACAGGTTGGAGGCAAACAGAATAAGCTCAGGTTTGGGAAAAGCTTTACACAGGCCTAGTGCAGAGTAATAAATAAATTACAATAAATTACACTTGTTATTGCTGTTATGCTATAGGGTCACTGACTATCACTGGCTGAAGGGGAGTCAGAGATTTCTGTTTGAGACATCTGATTCTCCTAAAGCCTTCCTGACAAATGCCTTAATCAGTTCTAGTGATGAAGAAGACTCAACAACACACCAACTCCATTTCTGGGCACCTTTGTTGACTTTCCCAGTAGCCCTGATTCCACCACAGTCGCAAAGGGCTCAGAAAGTACAGGTCATACACAAAATCTGCAAGTTCATAGCCTACAAGCTAAGAATTACTTTCCTGGTTTTGAATGGTTAAGGAAAAAAAAAGGGAGCTCTGGTGGCCTAGTGGCAAGACACTGCACTGCAATCCCAGAGGTAAGTGGTTAAAATCCACCAGATGCTCTGCTAGAGAAGGAGGGGGCAATCTCCTCCTGTACCAGTCAGATCTGAATTGACCATACACGTAAAAAGAATAATAAAAAAATTATTTAAAAAAGGTAAAGTATGTTATGATGTTTGAAATGATATGAAATTTACATGTCCTTGAAGTTTTATGGGGATGCAATCAGGTTCATGCTTTTATTATCTACAGCTGTTTCTGCACTACAGTGGCAGAGCTTAGAAGCTGCAGGACAACATATGGTCCATAAAGTCTAAAATATTTACTATCTGGGCTTTTCTAGAAGTTTGCCTCACTGTGTCCCTTCATGAGTTCAGGAGAAAACTAAGTACAGAAATACTCTGCTCAGGGATTTGCTGGCAGCGACGTCGTACCCAGGGGATGGTTGCGCAGCGTGGGCACACTAGTGGCGGTGAGGGTCAGTTCCTTGGCTTCACAGCTTTCCACCGGGCCCAGCAGGAAGTGCACACGCTGTTCAAGGGCAGGAGGTTTCCCAGCGTTGAGTCCTGAGCACACACAAAGTAAACATCACCATGCCAGTTTTACCTGACCACTCCGAGGTGGGGTGGTAGACAGACCCAACAGACCTAGGCGTGGGGTTAGAGGATACTGTGAGGCTGAAGACAAAAGAGACGCCCGCGATGGAGAGAACAGAAAGATAGTTGAGAGAAATACGTTCAGATCCTGATTATGCTGTTCGTGAAACTGCGTGACAATATGCAATACATAAAATTTCTGAGCCTCAATTTTTCCACAGATAAAAGGAATAACAGAGAACACAGAAGAGATGCTCTCGCCAGGTTTGTGGAAAATACATCTACTTTGGGAAGACACTGAAGGGGAGAAGGAACTCCTTCACCCCAGATAATAATAGCGGAATCGTGGGTCTGGTTCGCGTCACGCACCTTTCAAAAGCTGCATCTCTACAGTGTCCCGAAGGTGTTCCCACTTTAGTCCTGGAGGCTTGTAAGTCGCGAAAAGCCCATGTAGCCGAGACAGGCCTGCAGACCCCATTCCTGAAACCCGCAGCCTGATCGAAATAAAAGCTGAGATCTAGACCGAAACGCCGTACAACC